CCAAAAGTATTTATGCTGCATGTGTTCCAAACTATTTCAAGCTCCACATTTTTTCTAATCCAAAATCACATCGCTAGCAAAGTTCACAAATGAGATGTTAATGCAGCAAAACATTGTGATCTTTTGGAAGTGACGAACAAAATCCATAACAAAAAAGGAGAAGAATATTGGGCTCTACCTCGATCCTTCATGATTTTGAGGAAAGAAGACATAACCGTCGAGATGGGCTTCAACTCCACCACAGACTTCCTTCTTCTCTCTGCATTCACCATTGCTCTCAATGCATCATTTAGTATCCTCCTACCCATCTAGCTCTCTGCGACAGTTCAATAGCAATTTTCAACCATAAAAGAAATTCCAAAAACATCAATAAATTATCAAGTACCAAGAACTTCGAAAATAAACCCAATCTCCATTTCATAAAGTTAAAGTTGAAATAAGAATTTCAAACACAAAACTTGAATAATCTATTAACCCGACTTCAAGTTCGAACAAAAATGAAGAACAAAATTGAAGCTCATTTCATTTTTATAGTCAACAATTTATCGAAAATGTCCTTCTCATAGGTTTACTTGAACTTTGATGAATTAGCAAGTTGCCCCTTGAACTACGGTTGAGCAAAATTAAGCCTAAGTTTAATAAAATATTGTAAAGTGCCCTCAAATCAATGCACGATGGTAAAATTTAAAAGAAAACACCGTTATACCACATAACACGATACATGCTCTAATCATCATCTAAAATTTAAGTCTCTTTCTTCAATCAAGCTTATATAACCTAATTTTTTTAAGGATCATCAACAATTTAGGGACACTATATAAAACTTCGTTTATTTTAAGTGAATAAAAGTTCATGGGATAACTTGGCCATTGTGAAAAATTTTAGGGACAAATTGATAAAACTATTTATATTCAAAAATCTTGCTATCGAAATAATATTTTAATGTCAATTTCATTTCCTAAGAATCGTTTCTATTGAAAAAACCCACCCCTTATAAGATGCATATCGTATAGTTCAAACTTCTTCCCAAATAACTAAAAAATTCAACCATAATTCTACCCATGGAACTAACATGGGTTTCACTCCCACATAACCAAATTCCTTAATTTACTATTGTCTGCATTTGTCTCGCAGTATTAAGAAATGTTGGTATTTATGTTTTTTATGTTTCAGAGAAAAATAAAAGAATTACTTGATAAGTCCCATCTGAATTAATTGAAACCGATCACTTCGCAGGCCGTGATGCTTCTTTCCTGTATTATGGCTTTCATGATAAATTACTGTGTATTTTGGAATACCACACTCAATTCAGCACTCACACAGAATATTTGTGGTAATTTGAAGGTGCGTATACTTCTCATTTCTCACCTTCTATTATGTTGAGTCTTATAATTATTTTTCACTTTTTCCGAGGGGTGTTCATTCAATCCAATTCAACATGTTTTGATCATATAACAACCAATCCAATCTAAGATTGGTTTTTAAAAATTACATCTAATCCACTCTAATTACTAGTATATTATTCAATCCAATCTAATCCAATAAAGGTCGGCTTGGATTGGGTTGGACTAATAAATTTTTTATACATTATTTATTTTTTAGTTTTCTATTCGACCTATTTTGTTAAATCTTTTTTATAAAACTTAGATGCTACAGTTGAAAAAATAAAGCAAGAATTAATATCCATAAATCCAAAAAAGTATATAAACGCCAAATTACTTTAAAGTTGATTAAACATCTAACAAACAATTTAGAGAAATGAAAATAAAGTTACAAAATGATATACTTAAAAAAAATTAGCAAAAAAGGATAATGAAAAACATAAAAAGAAAGTATCTAAGAGAAAACTAGAATTTAAATTTTAGACCTATAATATAAATCACATTTTTATATAATATATAAAGTTTGAATCGGTATGATGTTTTGAAAGTAAAATTAACATCTCATCCAATTCAAGTCTGTTCTTAAGAATTCACATCTAATCCAATCTAATTGAGATCGGTTATCCACTAAAAATAAATTGAATTGATTGGACCGGTAAGTTTGATCGGTTGATTGAATGCGATGAACACCTTTATTTTTTTCACGGATCATGAATTTTTCAAGGTATTTTAGATATTCTATACAGGTTTTAGTTTGTCATAATTCTCATCTTATATAAGGCATTTTGGGACAACCGTTTTCTGTAATGAAAAATAGAGAGACAACAGAGATATTTTAAGTCGGTTATATCATATATTTCTTTATCTTATTACAGTAATATGTTGCAACTACAAGTAGACTTAACTTTCACCATTTTCCAGCTGGTGTAATTCTCTTTTTTATTTGGTGTAAGAAATGGCATCTCCATACATATGACTGCAAGATCAGTTAATAATTTTTATCAATTTTCTTTAAATTCCAATATAGCACTTTTAATATGAAAGAAACAAGAAGATTATAACGTCAGTAAATTCCAATACAGCATTTTTAATGTGAAAGGAATAAGAAGATTACAAGTTAAAAGTGAAAAAGCATTTTTTGTTAATTGACTTCTAATTCAATTGGTCACTCAAAAGTGATAACAGATAAAGTGTTGGACCTCATGTCAGCTTTACCTCATTTTTAGTCTATAAGCTTTTGGGTTGTTAGGTTGGCACCACATAATCTTTTGTCAATTTTCATGCCCAGAGACCAATCACAGAATATCACTACTTGCATGTTGTAAGATCTTTTCACAATTGGGCTTGGCTGGTTGCTGTTTGGTGGGCCCCCCTTTGATTTGGTAAAGTCCAAGCCAGTACAAGCAATTCAAAAATATAATAAATAGCAGATTTATAAAATTAAATTAAATAAATAACATATTTTAAAATTATTTGAAGTAAATAGTAGTTTAACGTGTAAATTTTTTTTATTTCTACATAAATTTTCTTTTTATAATTAATAAAAAGATTTTTTTTCACGTAAATAAAGATTATTTACCATATAAATTATTTTTTACGAGTCAAAACATTTATATGGTAAACAACTATTTACTTCAAATAATTTTAAAATATAGTATTTATTTAATTTAGTTTCATAAATCTACTATTTATTACCATTTTTCTTATTTTTTATTATTATTGTTATGTTATTCTAATAATTACCAGTCATGGTAGTAATTTAGTAATTATTTACTGTATTAAATAGTTATTGACGTGACAGTCATGCAAAAAAAAAAAAAAAAGACAATCAAAATGAGCGTTATTTATAGATAAAAAAAAAAATGTGATAAGAGACATTTAACCCTTGTACAAATTGGGTCATGATCTTCTAATATTTTCTTCTTTTTTTTTTCATTTTCGTTTCTTCCACTATTGAACTATTTGCCTCTTTTCGTTCCAGCTAAATGTTGTTGGCCAATCTCTTGGATTCTTTGGTTCCTGTTTGTATGCTTACTGTAAACTCCGAGGTAAGTAAGCGGTAAAAATGGTTGGTCATCGCTGCCTATATCAACTTCTAAATTTTGACTTGGTGAATATTCAAGATTTTTAGCTTATGATTAGACCTCAAAAAACAAAAAAAAAAACAAAAAAAAAGTGATGTGAACAAAGTTAAATAACTTCTTATGCTGTATATCTTTCTATAATAGATACCAGAGCTTAATCTTGGTACAATTTTTTTGGTATAATGCAAGTTAAAATTTCACAAATCAAATGAGGAATAATAATGGCTCTTTGTGTCTCCCACAAGTCCATATTATAGGAATCAATGGATTTATGTTACACTTTAGTGATAATTTGGTGGGGAACTTGTTAAATTTTAATCCATTTTAGAGTCTTATTATGTTTTGTTACAACATAATATCACAAATTTCCACGGTTATCATTGGAAACTTTGTGAATCTTACCTTCTCAAAAGTGACCAATGTCTATATAATGTCTGAGATTCATTTTATTTCTTAATAACCACTTGTACGTCTAAAATGACATTGAATGATATTTCTTTCTCTCATTGAAGCTAAAAATAAAAAATAAAAATAAAAAAAAAAGAAAAAAGGAACCAAAAAAAATAATAAAAGTTTTTGACTTTTTTCAGTTAGGACTCCGTATGGCAGCTGACTTGTAAAAGAAATGTTAAATCAGGCGAGATTATGTCCTAAAGAATGAAAAAGGAGGACTAATATCTATCTAAAGAATTTAAATTTAAAAATTTCTTCTCGCTAATAAAGTGATCTATTGAGCTAACCTGAGCTCTTTATAGCTCGGCCTTTTATTCGGATTCCCGCTTCTCACAGCCGCTCTTGCCACTCCCCCAGATATCTAGTGCCAAATCATCGCCGTTTTCCTTATTTTTTCGATAATAGAGTTAACTATCTTTATAATATTAATAGAATCACTGACTTGCACGCGTAACCCGAACAGACCCTAGTCTCACTCTCCTTCTTCCCTTCTTTTTTTAAAGAAAGTTTGAAAATGTCACAAAATCAATAAAAAAATGTGTTAAAATTTGAAAAGAAACACCTTCATACCCATGACATGACGTGCTCTATTGTCATCTTAAATTTTAATCTTTGTCTTCAAACAAGCTCACATGACATGATCCCGATTTGAAAAGTCGTAATCGATCTGGAGTAATCTTACTAAAATTAGAAAATTTGCGTGACAACTTGTTAAATTGTTAAAATGTTGTCTGCCTCCAACTCGCGCATACTTGGACGGTGTTGGGTTGGGATTTAAGAATTTTCTCATCTCCAACAAGCGAGCGGGCGGAAACTGCACGTCTTATTTGCAGTTTTCACAACTTCGATTTTATTACATTATCAGACCCCTAAACTTGATAAATTGAACAATATTGGATCTAGATATTAAACAATTTAGGATTGCATTAAATCCTTCCATGTGTTCAACGTTGCATGATATACATATATATATATATATATATTTACGGTTTGCATGTTGAGCCGGCGGAAACTGCACGTTGCAGTCAACTAGTTGTGATGACGTACACTTGGCCTATGATTAAAAACACAGACAAATAAATTCACGAGAACAAAAATTCACTAATCAGGTTTTCCATCATCCTTATTCTTACATCACCCTTTTTTCTTGCGAAAGAATACTAGCATAGTGTCATCATACAAAAGGAAACACATTTTGCAGTTCTCATTCACTTAAAAGGGTTGAGAAATAGAATGGATATATATATTATTAGTGAAAGTAACCAAGAACCTGACCTCCTACATTACGTCTGATAGCCTCTTCATGATCCAAAACGCCATCTGGAGTTGTGATCACAACGTAACCCCACTGCACAAAAGGAAAGGTTAAAGACATTAAATCATTTCCCTTCTATAAGCTTGTAAGGACCTTGTAGTAACAACCCTTCTCAACAAAGACGAAGACGAACGAGAAAAGGAAAAATGATGGGATTTTGTAAATCCAAAAGTAACCAAACCGGACCTGGCGCGTTGGAAGCGTCGATGTTTTGTAACTTTCAATATCTCTTGCTGCAATGTCCTGCCTGTAAGTAAGAGCTCGACAATCGTTGATCCTGCCTTGTAGCTGAACTGTTATCGTCCCCACTTTGTGGGGATCATACACTTGAAAATCCTTGATGTAACCTAAATTTATATATCTAAGTCAGGGACACTGTCACATGAACAAATTAACAAAATTGTGGACGTAATGATTAATTGATCGGTTTTGTATCAAATAATTATTCATTTTCTCATCAAAAAATACAGCAGCATAATTCATTCATCGATGGACAACAAAGAGCATTAAGGATATGCTTATCTTTTCCAGAAAGATTCAGAGGAATGATGTTTTTTTGCTAGAAAGATTCAGAGCAATGTTGCTGATTGGCCTTAAAGTGTAGCAAACAAAGAAAAAGAGAATGAGGGGTAAGAGAGTTATAGGTTTCCAGAAAAGCAGCGCAACGACTTTTGTTATTCTTGCTGCTAATAAGATAAGCAGTGTGACTACTTGCACCTCTCCAAAAGCAGCTAAAGTATAAAGGTGCATACTTGGAAGAAGAAGCTCAGTTAGATACATACAGCTGCAAACAAATGAACTTTAGATATCAAGATTATTCTGCTCTGTAAAATTCATTTCATTCTATATCTGCAAAAGACCAAAAGACCAAATGAACTTCGATTTTATTCTTAAAGTCGTCCTAGGGAGGGATATAAAAACTACATAAATAAATAAATAAAAAGCGTGGTAAGATGTGCGAAAATACTTAGCAAATCTAGTCATCCTGTAACCAGTTATGTGCAAAAACTCGTAACTGAAGCACAAAAATTTTGGACTAGCCCCTCTACCCCATGTTCTTCAGATGCCCGTACCAAGAAGGAAAGTGGTACTTTGTAGAAAAACATAGTCCCAACCTAAACATTAGAACAAATAAAGTAGCAATGCTAATTCTAAGAAATATTGAATGGGAATATGGAAAGAGAATAACTCCTTATTCTCATAGATGAAAACAAAAATCACCAAAAGTATTTATGCTGCATGTGTTCCAAACTATTTCAAGCTCCACATTTTTTCTAATCCAAAATCACATCGCTAGCAAAGTTCACAAATGAGATGTTAATGCAGCAAAACATTGTGATCTTTTGGAAGTGACGAACAAAATCCATAACAAAAAAGGAGAAGAATATTGGGCTCTACCTCGATCCTTCATGATTTTGAGGAAAGAAGACATAACCGTCGAGATGGGCTTCAACTCCACCACAGACTTCCTTCTTCTCTCTGCATTCACCATTGCTCTCAATGCATCATTTAGTATCCTCCTACCCATCTAGCTCTCTGCGACAGTTCAATAGCAATTTTCAACCATAAAAGAAATTCCAAAAACATCAATAAATTATCAAGTACCAAGAACTTCGAAAATAAACCCAATCTCCATTTCATAAATTTAAAGTTGAAATAAGAATTTCAAACACAAAACTTGAATAATCTATTAACCCAACTTCAAGTTCGAACAAAAATGAAGAACAAAATTGAAGCTCATTTCATTTTTATAGTCAACAATTTATCGAAAATGTCCTTCTCATTTTCATTCTACTGTTTTCTACTTTTCCCCAAATACAAATAGGCCTGTTTAGCATCTCCATTGTTCCCACTCGCTCCTCAATGTCTCAATCTCACGCTCATATTTTGCAAACTATAACAACCATTCCATAACCTAAATCAATAACCATTATTATGCATCCAAATGATCAAATATTTCCATTCCAAATATACGCATTTTGAGATTTGTAAAACAATCAATTAAATCTCATCACATCATAGAAAAAGGGGAATGAAGGATCGTGTTAAAACGGAAACGTTCACATGATCTCCTCAAAGACTTGCTTTTGAAACAAAAACTGGAAACAGAAAAATTTTAAAAAAAAAAAAGAAAAAGAAACAGAAAACCAACCGTTGAGGAGCTTGAAATCGGCGGTAAGACTGGGGGGACGCGACGGCGCTCGCCACTGATGAGCTATATGAGCTCTAGGGCAACAAGGGTGGGTGACTTCTGAGAGAAAGAGAGGGCCACCGTGAAGAGAAGGAGCGGCGGTGGAGAGAAGACAAGGCGCGGCGGTGGAGAGAAGAGAATGAGCGGCGGCGGTGGAAAGAGTGAAAATAGTGGGAACTGGGAAGAGGAAAACCTAGCTAGCAGAGATGATGAATAATGTGTATTCCGTATTCCTTAGTTTTTGTTTTGTATACAGTATACTTTTATTCTATTACTTTATTAATATTTTTTAAAAATATATATTTGTAAAAAAAAGTAACAAACGAATTGTAATTGAGTTGTGTATTTGTATTATTTAAATATGACACGTTTAATAAACATATTATGACGGTTTAATTACGGGTTGACGGGTCAACTTAAAAATAACACGTTATTTAATCGTGTTTCACAAATTTGACATGATTTTGACCCGTAATATTTAAGATAAACCTAAACTCGTTAATTTCGTGCGAATTTCAAGTCGTATCGTCGTGTCATTACGCGGATTATCAGCTCACAAAAACCACTTAAACGAAGCGCCTCAATTTTACGTACCTACAATATTATAATTATTCCTACAATATTATAATTTTTATTTTATTTTCGTAATTTTTATTTTATTGTTTGTAATAATTTGTTAGTTATTTAACTTATTTTGATCAATTCTTTTTAGAATATATATATATATATATATGTATATATTTAGGATAAATTCTTTTCGTTGGACTTTTTTTTAATCGGAGTTGGTCTTTTTTTATGTTATGGGTAAGATGTAATTTTAGTGGAATAGTGTTAATTATTAGTTATTGTAATTAAAATTGTGATTAATTGTGATTGTATGTTCTATTCTATATTACAAAAGCTCACGATAAAAGGAGTGGAGAGAATAAACTACTTCCTGTTTGGTTGGGGAATTCCGCCCAACTCAGTTCAGTCGTTTACTATTAAAAATAACACCTACAAAAAATTAATTATTATATAGAAAATTTTTACTCAACAAAAAAAAACTTAAAAAGAGGTCAGAAAAGCTACCCAATTAAAAATAACACCTACAAAAAACTTAATTAGTATATAGATAATTTGTCTTAAATTAAATTTTTGATGTTGTATTATGCTTATGCATTATCTTTTTTTTTATTTTTAAAAATTGTTGCCAAATTAAAAAATGTTGTATTATTTCTTATGCATTATATTATTATATTTCAGTTCAAATTACAGTTCTCAATTGTCATCCAAACTCTAATTCATATTATATTATCTGTTCGAATTAAAATTTTAAATACACAACAAAACGTCAATTCGGACTATTGTTTAGAACACGTTGTTCAGATTTTTCTGTTTAAATCAAAAAAGTTCAAATCAACACAATTTAAATTAACAACTAAACAGGTCATACCTATTTTTAGGCATTTTATGATTTTGAGAGGTCTAAGTTCCTTAAAAACTCAAATTTTAGGCGTTTAGTTCATGGATTCAAACTATGTGATTAGAACCATTTTCGATTTACGTGTATTTTTTATGAGAGAAAATATTATAGCGAACCACGAACCAATTCGAATCAGGGAACGAATCTAGGTACCAAACGGGTTTATAAATTTGCGACAACCACCAGCTCCTATCATTAATGTCTCATCTCTTGTGATATGAGTTACATATAAAATATTTATTTTAAAAGTTGATGAATATTGTGCATGATTAATTATTTTGTTGTAAAATAATTAGTTATGATGAGTATGAAAAAAGTTATTTTAATTGTAAGAATAAAAATATATATCAATTTTAATTTTACAGTAACATGTTAGTTATCCAAATGTTGGAGCGTTAGAAATATATATCGGAAGTGAGTGTGTTCAACAACCTAGTGATAAGCTTGGGGATCTCAAACAAATACTTATAGTCTGTTTGGTAAGGAGATTCGAACCATGATTTGAATTATGGTTCATGGTTCGATACAGTATTTTATCTCACAAAAAAATACACGTAAATCGAGAATGTTTCGTTGTGAATGCATAGAAAAAAATCATTTCAATCGAAATAAAAATGAAAAAATTATGACATTTTTAAGAATAGAAAAAATATTGTTTATTAACTTGAGTTTAAGTTTATGAACTTGAGTTGAATGATGAACTTGAGCTAAGATTTTAACCTCAAACTCAAGTTCAAACTCAAATTTTAGAAGAGAACATAAACTTAAATAAAATTGTAACTTGAATTCAAATTTTTTTTTTTTTTAAGTTTCGGTGTAAATGAACAAGCCTTTAGTGCTACAAACAGATAACTTGTAGATCTTTTTTAGGCTCCATCAGAGTTTTTCTTCCCTCACCTGTAGAGGTGACAAAAAAAACCGCGTTTATAAAAGGTTATAAAGGGAATTAAAGAAGGAGAACATTAAACTAATATCCCACACTTGTTAATTCACAAGAAGAGAATAACAAGCAAAATTGAGTGGTCGAGAAACCTCTAAATATTCAGTAGGCTGCAGTTTTTATTGGGATTCTTGTTGAATAAACATGAAAATCTAAATAGGGCAATTTAATTGGTAGATACATGACCGATTGTTTTGTTGCCTAACAAGAAACAACTTGTTTTTTTCCTTGTTCTTATTATTCTTCTCCTCATTCAAATCGCAATAACGACCTCGTCTTCAGGCAACTTTATGACGAAAAATCTCAGCTTGAGAGACGAGGGGAAATTGCAATGGCAACCTCACGTATGGATGGTTCTGCGACAGTCAAATCTTGTCATGAAAAGGGATTAGTAATGACGACGGCCCGATAAGGAGATTTGCTTTGTAAGTTTTGTTTTTTTTTAGAGTATTGTTAGTTTTACATTTATTTTATTCGACATTTTTGTTGATTGATATTTTAGATAATATACGATGTAGATTGTAAATGATAGTTTTATACATCGTTTATTTCACCGATTCGAGTTTTCAGTTTTAAGTTTTTACAGTAAAAAATTCTTAAAAAATGTCACATCTAACTTTTTCTGTTACAGTGAAAAACTCTCAAAAAATGTCACATCTCAACTCAAATTAAAAACTCAAATCCGTAAAATGAACAAGGTCTTAGTATTTTCAAAAATTTGGTGATTGATTTTACAAATGGTGTTGATGTTTAAGACAGTGAGGAGGGTAAAAATGACATTTTGATAAAACCAGGTGATGTTTCAAGCATACAATCTCCATAATGCTCGCAATAGAAAGAGAGGTGCAATTCTACAATTGATGTGTAATAAAATGACGTGGCGGATTTTGATTGGAAAAGTTGCGCTGGCAAATTTCCCCTACTGCTGCTGTTAGTGTTGCCATTCTGTAACGTTGACAATTTTATTTATTCTAGAATTAAATTGATGTACCAACTTTAATATTTGATTGTGGAAAAACTGATCTTAGAGGATGTTTGGTATCTAGATTCGTTTTTTGATTTGAATTATGATTTGTGATTCGTTACAGTATTTTCTCTCATAAAAAATACACATAAATAAAAAATAATTCTAATCACATGATTTTAATCTATGAACTAAATGTCTCCTTAATTTGTAAAATAAATCGATAGTAGTTTCTTTTTGGCCGGTGAAAAACACTTATTTTTTTAATTCTTCTTTTTGTTTTTATTCTTTTGATTTTGATTTTGATTTTTTATTTTTGAGTAAGAAATCCACATTAACCAAACACGAAAAATAACTCTTTTAATACTCCTCCGTTTATGTTTCTATTTTCTCTCTCTAGCACTGGCAGGCATATTCCATTTCCTTCACTTTCTGTGAACAAGTCATCGAGTTTCTCTCTAAAAAGCTTCAAAATCCTTTTGGAGAGAGAAAGTGAAAGAGCGCGCTCAAAAGGAAGATCTCTCTCAGCTCCCTTGTTTGCTGGTAATGTCTTCTCTTTGCCCTCACAATTTCGGTGTTTCTATTGATCTCTCTGCGATTCTCTTCTTTCATTTTTCCTTTGTTGTTCTTCTGATGCTGAATTGTTGTGATTTTCGCCGTATTATTGAAGTCCTAGGTTTTTTTGTTTCCGGATCTCCTCTGGTTTTGGATTGCTTTCATTTGGATTTGCTTCGTTTTTTCAATCTTTGTTTTGGTTTACTCGGTGAGAATTCTCCGTTATGGTCCTTCGTTTTTTGTTCTCGCATTTCCTTCAAAATCACATAAAGCATTTGGAATTCCGTTTTTCGGAAGGTTTTACTTTGAAATTTCCCCATTTCTTGGTTGCTTTATCTGTTTCCAGATTGATCAGTTTTTGTTGTAGTGATTGTAAGGAATGTGAACTTTTCCCTTTGTTTTTTCTTTAAAATAATATTGAAAGGACTGAAGTTTCTCGGAAATTTGCCATGGATTTAATGTAAACTAATCATTCAATCCACGGAATTGTTTGCGTGATAGTATCCAAAGGAAGAATCTTTTCTGGATATATTTCAATAACTTGGGTATGGTGATTTGAAGAAATAATTCTTTATAATTAATATCTGCATCAATATGATTGCCAGTCTTTGATATTCTTTGTAATGCTATTTGTTTGCCTAATCATATGATTACCAGAAATCCATTTCCCTCAGCTACATTACATGGTTAAAGTTGAAGTCAATAAACTGCGCTTTTTCTATTTTATAGGAATTCGGTCGGCAGAAAAGAGAGTTATTTGCTTTGGAAGAGGAGAAAGGATAAACAAGTTTTGATTTATAGGAAAGCAGGTGGTCTACTAGTGACATTTACTTCTACAATTGCATAGTCGCATGAGGTTGAATTGCACTAATTGTTTTTTTGGTGGATAAAGAAGAATCTTCAAAATTCAGCGACCAGGTTCAGGGGGTGACTTGCCCCAAGGTGGCGAGTACAACCCTTTTCCTGTAGCTCGAAGGGTGAATTCCGCCCATACAATGCTCATGGATGAGGATTTGGAGGACGGTAATTTGGGGCCTTACCAGGACAGGCCAAGGACCTTTCCCAATATGCGCAGCAAAGCTTACACCCCATGGGTACGGATCTTAAGTAAAATTTTGACTCTTCTTGTTATTTGAGGGAGACTTGTATGCTTACTTTTTCCCCCCCTTTTTCAAATGCAAAGCCGTGTGTTTTCTTTCCTAATATAGTGTCTTAGATTTTATTTGTTATTGTTGATGCAAAGCTCTAATTCTCTTATTATACTGTTTTCATGAGCTATGCTGGATCAATGGAAAAAAATGTATTGTGACTAAGATATTTTGTCTTTTTGGTGGCATCGTGGTTGTTTTAGTGCTCTTTTTTTTCGTCTTAGAATCTAATTGCATGATTTTTTACTTTATTTCTTTTCATGTTGGTCATACATTAGCACCTTTGTGCTGGCCTATAATTCTATTTGCTGATAATAGAAACCCATTTGTTTGTGCAGATTTTTCGAATCCTGCTTGGGATAAATTTCCGCATTCTTTTAGTACTCTTGCTCGTGGGATTTGGAGTGGTCTTTTACATTGGAGCAAGAACTTCTCCAATCATCGTATTTGTATTCTCAGTTTGTATTGTCAGCTTTCTTTTCTCAATATACCTTACTAAGTGGGTACTCTCAAAGGATGAGGGGCCTCCTGAGATGATTCAGGTACATCCACTTTAAATATATTTTGCTTATAGAATGATTGAATTAATGTTTTGATCTCAACGGGCGGGTGGTCTGAAAATTCATGATGATCAATATTTATTTAAAGTGCCTCATATTGTATTTCTTTATCCTTGTGCTTCGTTTTAGATATCAGAAGCCATACGTGACGGGGCTGAAGGTTTCTTCAGGACCCAGTATGGGACTATCTCTAAGATGGCATTTTTGCTAGCTGTAGTCATCCTTTGCATATACTTGTTTCGCAATACAACTCCTCAACAAGAATCTTCTGGTATTGGGAGGTGATAACATAATTCTGCCACACACCTTTCCCCACCTCTCGCCCAAACTTTCAGGCAATACATATTCACGGTTATGAACTTGCTGATGTAGGTCTACTTCTGCATATATCACGGTAGCTGCATTTCTTTTGGGAGCCCTGTGTTCAGGGATTGCAGGGTATGTTGGGATGTGGGTGTCAGTTCGTGCAAATGTTCGAGTTTCTAGTGCTGCAAGAAGATCTGCAAGAGAGGCATTGCAGGTTTGTGTCTTATTTGTTTACTTCCCTCAAGCAGTTTTAGAGTTGAATTTTAAGAGAATGCATTATGTGCAGGTAGCCGTTCGGGCTGGTGGTTTTTCTGCTATAGTTGTTGTTGGTATGGCTGTAATTGGCATAGCAATTCTATATGCCACATTTTATGTTTGGCTGGGGGTGGATTCCCCGGGTTCAATGAAGGTTACCGATTGTAGGTGTCAACTTTCCTTGTTATTCAAGTTTGCAAATGTTGCTACAATACTAAACTGATTTGATCTCGGTTGCTTAGCTTTTGAGTTCTTGATTTGTTTTGTGTGATTATTTATTCCTTTACTTTAAAAAAATAAAATAAAATTATTGTTTCCTAAGTATTATATTCTGGGATTGTAATTACTTATGCCTTCTTTCCACTATGTGGTGCTTGACTTTTTACTCTACATATCTTCCAGTGCCTCTTCTTCTTGTTGGATATGGCTTTGGAGCTTCTTTTGTTGCCCTGTTTGCTCAGTTGGGTGGTGGAATATACACAAAAGCAGCAGATGTTGGAGCAGACCTTGTTGGGAAAGTGGAGCAGGGAATTCCTGAAGATGACCCTAGGAATCCTGCCGTGATTGCAGATCTGGTAATTATTCTTCTCATTTTAGCTTTATTATTGAGCCATTGCCTTCATAACTTCAGCTTTGTTGAAGATTCTGATAATGTTGCGATGTAAGTATTTGCTGGGATGTTTTTATCTGTCAAAGTTAAGCTATAAATTAAATATGGCAAAAGAGACATGGAAATGGTCTAGGCAGTACTTTTTCCTATGGTATATTCCGCAAATGTATCTGCGATTCTGGGGTTTTAGGTCTTTTAAATTTTCCTCTGCTTTAACAAAGGTTATAGGTATGGCACTTTTCTTCCCTGGGGAAGTCGTGTGGCCCATCATTTAGGTTAGTGCCTTTTGAATGTAAATTTGGAGAATAAGAAAAAGACAAATGATAAAATCTAAAACTATGAAAGGAAAAATGGAATGGTACTGACGAAATATAAAAAATGTCTTGGAAAGTATGTTTTTTCCCGTATCATGTCAATAGTTTCTAGATTAAGGTTGCATAGTTGTACACATACACTAGTATAATTGTTGGGCATACCAGAATCATAAAATGTGGTTTAACCCTTTTAGCTGTTGTCAAAAACTTTTCTCCAATTGATTCTGCTACTTTTTCACTATCTTTTCTGTGATGGTTTTGTTGTTTCAAACTTGCTGATTTGACTTTGATCCTTGAAATAATCACATTAAGGTTGGAGACAATGTAGGCGACTGTGCAGCTAGAGGTGCCGATCTCTTTGAAAGTATTGCAGCTGAAATAATCAGTGCTATGATACTTGGGGGAACAATGGCTCAACGTTGTAAAATTGAAGGCATGAATATTTTTTTTTTTTCTTTCAGTATAAGTTTTATTTGATATTGTTAGACACAGATATATTATATTCTATGTTGCTTTGAGTCTTTTTGACATTAGAGTGACACTTATGATTTACATGATGTCATCGTTACTTTGAACGACTCAGACCCTGTATTCTTGTTTGCGCAGATCCATCAGGCTTCATATTGTTCCCTCTTGTTGTTCACTCATTTGATCTGGTTATATCATCTGTTGGAATTCTATCAATTAGGGGTACACGTGATTCTGGTGTGAAGGCCCCAATAGAGGATCCAATGGCAATTCTTCAAAAGGGATATTCTATCACTATAGTGTTAGCTGTACTAACATTTGGTCTGGTAATTCCTCATCTACAACCAAAACTCATTTAATTTCTTCAAAATTGCAGCTGCCGGTCTGCTATGATTTAGGGTTCCTTTATTCATCTGAAAACAATTTTGACTTTACATCTTAGTTTATTCAGATGTTGGAAATCTGCCATAGTTCTTGTAACTTTTATTTATTTATTTTTTAATATTCTAAAGCTTGACAAATAGTGTGGTTTGTCGAATACTCCACAGTCTACCCGTTGGTTGCTTTACACCGAACAAGCTCCTTCTGCGTGGTTTAACTTTGCATTATGTGGACTAGTTGGTATCATCACAGCTTATATTTTTGTCTGGATTACCAAGTACTACACTGATTACAAGCATGAACCTGTACGCACTTTAGCTCTTTCTAGCTCCACGGGTCATGGGACAAATATAATTGCTGGAGTGAGTTTGGGACTCGAGTCAACTGCTCTTCCTGTTCTCACTATTAGTGCATCTATTATCTCTGCATTCTGGCTTGGTCACACCTCTGGACTGGTAGATGAAACCGGAAAACCAACCGGTGGACTCTTCGGTACAGCTGTAGCAACAATGGGAATGCTCAGCACTGCTGCCTATGTTCTCACTATGGATATGTTTGGTCCTATAGCTGATAATGCTGGTGGAATTGTAGAGATGAGTCAGCAGGTAACCTGTGACCTAACGAGTTCTCAAATATGTTTATTTCAGTGATTATAGTGAATTCTTGAGCACTTTTTTAGTAGTATCTTATATATATATATATATATATTGTTACGAGCTTCTATAACTTTGAACAAATGTCTTTTCAGCCAGAAAGTGTTCGGGAGATCACTGATCTCTTGGATGCAGTAGGGAACACTACAAAAGCAACGACAAAAGGTTTTGCCATTGGATCTGCTGCACTTGCGTCTTTCCTTCTGTTTAGTGCTTATATGGATGAGGTTGCTACATTTGCTCATGAACCTTTTACACAGGTAAGAGAAATGTACGTGCTCTAAGGTTATCTTCCCCGGTTTCAAACACTTTTTGAGCCTTTTTTCTTGGTTTGAAACCTTTTATTTGGTTTCCAGGTTGACATTGCCATTCCAGAAGTCTTCATTGGAGGGTTATTGGGTTCAATGCTTATATTTTTATTTAGTGCTTGGGCTTGTTCAGCAGTTGGTCGAACTGCTCAAGAAGTTGTTAAGGAAGTAAGGAGACAGTTTATTGAAAGGCCTGGTATAATGGTTAGTATGAAGTTTCTTCGACTCCTTAAACCTAGTAATTCCTAAATCAAAATTTTATTAGTGTTTTGATGCGTAATCTTCTTTTGATATGGACTTTCTAATGGCACTCTTGCTGCAGGACTACAAGGAGAAGCCTGATTATGGTCGTTGTGTTGCTATTGTGGCATCTGCATCCTTAAGAGAAATGATAAAACCTGGTGCCTTGGCTATTGTTTCACCTATAGTGGTTGGTAAGTTAACGATAGTGTTCGAGGAGTAATCTTCGTATGAGTGGGTTTATGCTCATACTTATGCTTTCTTAGGTAGTGAAATGGAGAATCAAGTGTTCATGAATATGAAAATGCCTTGTTATATATTACGTTTTTTCCCAGTGTATTCAATTGTGTACCATTATAGTGTTTTAGTTTTGGCATGCCGAGAGATTGCTGATAGGATCTTAGCAGTTTCTTGGAAAAACACAGTAGAAATCACACAAGAATAGAGATGGCTTATTGAACAAGAATAGCAATAACAGTGAAACAACAATTAGCAGCATTTAAGAGGCTGCAACTCTCCCAAGGGGTTCCCCCAATTCCCATAAATCAGACCTTAAGCCTCATTAATTACTATCCCCTTATTTATACTACTAACTCCACTAACTGCTAACAAACTACTAATTCCCTTAACCAAGTAAAATCCTATCAATTTCATTATAAATCATCTGTGAAATATTGCTCGAGATGCTCTGCTGACATAGCTGCTGCAAAGCAATTTGCTTAGTTTTTTCTGTGAATGTATCTTTTAGTTATATAGTTTGTGTCTATCACTGTCTCTCTCTCTCTCTCTCTCTCTCTCTCTCTCTCAGTCATACAGTACAAATTTTCAGTTTTATAGTTTTGGCTCAGTTTGGTAATCATTGCTCTCCGAGACATTGGTGCTTTTGCCTCCCTCCCTCCCTCCCTCCCTCCCTCCCTCTTTATCTCTGAATTATTTTTATTCTTCTCTGCACAGGTTGGAACTATACCTATGGACTATATTCATGAAGGATATAATTATGTTTGCTCATTTTACTTGCAGGATTTCTGTTCCGGATTTTGGGATATTATACTGGACACCCTCTACTTGGGGCTAAAGTTGTCGCTTCAATGCTCATGTTTGCAACAGTTTCTGGTATTCTTATGGCTCTTTTCCTGAACACAGCAGGAGGTGCATGGGACAATGCTAAGAAGTACATTGAGACGGGGGCTCTTGGTGGTAAAGGAAGTGATTCTCATAAAGCTGCAATAACGGGAGATACGTAAGCCTTCTTCGTACTCTTCATCTGCTGTTATCTGGGTTCTCTCTCTCTCTCTCTCCTTTTTTTCTTTTTTCTTTTTTTCAGAAAGCAATTTGGTCCATTTTGTGCACCTTTAGTTCTTCTATTTCATTATATACTGACTCATCTAAAACTTGAAAGCTGTAGTCATTTTTCCTTGAACCCTAAAATGAATAATTAGGGCTGCTCGAATTGAACTTGTTCTTCCTGTCACTAATCTGTTTTCTCCCCCCTTGGTTCTGCAGCGTTGGAGATCCATTTAAAGACACAGCCGGGCCTTCTCTCCACGTCCTCATAAAAATGCTTGCGACGATTACACTTGTTATGGCTCCTGTGTTTCTGTGAGTTGCTTATATTGACTGTGGTATCACTGGCGTATTGCACCCATTTTTCGTGATAACTTAGATGTTTTTGCAAATATACGGATAGGTGTTTGAAGTAGAATGAGGGTGCCTGATTTAGTGATGTACTGATTCCTTCACTTATATCTTGAATAAGAGAGATCTTAATTAACTGCTTATTCTAGTGCGAATCATTGTTATTTTCACCGCGCTTTCTTGAACTAGTTTATGACTTTTGAGCTTTTTCTTAAGGACGTCGCTTCCATTTCAAGCCCCTTCAGGCGATCCAAACAGCAACGCAGCCGTTTTTAATATTTCGTGATCTGCAATGCCACGTTTTAAAAGATGTTTTATGAAGAAGTCTCGTGCTTAGTTTGCAAGTGTTTGAGATTTTGAATCAATAGTAGAAATCTTTAATATTTCGTGATGTGCAATGCAACGTTTTAAAAAGATGCTTCATGTGCAAGCCTCGTGGTATATTTCCTGTTGAAAAATGCAGAGTTAATTTTATATTAGTATCTAATATCCTTTGCTCTTGGACACGACCCCTGTCTCACTTTTCATATTTTTTAGCCTTATTTATTTTGGGCCTTCTAGACTTTGATCATTTAATTGGTTATAAAAATGGGTGAAAGACAATTTCAGCGAGAAGTTATTTTCTTTTCCTTTCGCGTGCGATGGAGGAGCTAAGGATTTGTTCTTTTGTATGTCTTGAGTTGTGTACGTGAGAGAAAAATATTTTGAATTTTTATGAGAGAAAATATTGTAGCAATATGACTTGAGTTATGAATATGAACCTACTCTAAATTTATGTACATTTTTTTTTTAAATGTCATGGGACACCTAGATGCGACATTAGGGGAGGCAATTCGTGTCATGTGTTGTGTTCGTGTCGTGTTTTGATTGTTTCTTTTTAAATTTACAGTCGATCCTAACACGACCTGTGACACTAAATTTTTTATAAACCACAACACGAACGCGACACGACTATTTTACGGGTTGACACGACACAAAAATAACCCGTGACACGAATTTGACCCGTGAACCCAATATTAACACGAACCACAACACGAACGCGACACGACTATTTTACGGGTTGACACGACACAACACGACACAAAAATAACCCGTGACACGAATTTGACCCGTGAACCCAATATTAACACAAAAATTATATATTTTTCTTTAGTTTGTTACATATTATAAATAACTTAAAATTCATAACACACTAAAATATAATAACATCCGTCAACATTAAGCAAGTATTAGTATAAGATTTTGAGTGTAACTATCATGATATTACAATTTCATAATAAAATTTAAAATAAGTAATGAAAAATATATATTTTTTTAGTTTTTTATGAGTTTCGTATCGTGTTCGGGTTAAACGGGTTAACCCGAAATTGATATGTGTTTTTTGTGTCAATTTCAGGTCGACCCAATTCTAACTGGAATCTCTTTTTCTCAACCTTAACTCGTAAAATTCGTGTCGTGGCCCATATTTCCAGCCATATGCAACATATTATCAAGTTCTACCTAAATTAAAACAGAAAAGAAAAGCTCCAAACTCAATTAAGTGCTTTATTTTGTTTTATTTTGTTTTATATATTACTGAATACAATGCAACAGTGAATGTCATATGCAATACACAATCTAGCTAGAATATGCATGTAGTAAGTAAATCAAGTGTGACACACAATAATTACCGATGTTATTAATTGCATGTGAATATATATATATGTATTAAAAAGGGTGAACGTTAAACTCTAAAGTGCAAGAAATTAAGGTCTAATTCTCCTTAAAGCTTACGCTACAAAGGAAACCTGGACAACAAATAGGCAACCTGTATGGCAGATCCGAGATAAAATGCAAAGTTGTGGACTAGGGTCTTCATTGTTGCATATTTCTCGTGGCATAATGTAGCATCATATTCCTTTGTATCTAAGGACAGGGCATCATGAACATCAGAACTACAAATGTACTAATTGTTTCCGATTAGGTAGTTCTTCGCCTTCTTTTTGGCAGTCCAGCAGCTTCCTGTTTTGAATATATATATATATATTTATATTTATTGAGAGTTTCTCCGTTGCACCATCCTTTTTAGAAATATCGGTGTTCTCTACTCTTTCAGTCATTAGATCTTGTCAAAATCACATCAAATTAAAAAGTATGCAGAATAAACAAATTCTGATACGGATTGACGGCTGAATTGAACACCAGAGAAAATCCCATATATTTTTACACTATGTTAAAATGAACACTTTTGACGCTAAACTTTTTTAAAAATGATAGTTTTGTTCTCGGTCTCTAACCCTAAAATTTTTTTAAATTTTGAAACCATTGCATAACCATATGATTTAAAAAAAAAAAAAAAAAAAAAAAAAAAAAAAAAAAAAAAAACAACCACATAAGGGCAAAATGTTCTAATTTTTAGGGGTTTTAAAACATTTTGTTTTATTTTGACCATATGATCATCATGTGGCGCTTAACACCTCATTTAACGCTAATGGCATGCTTAATACATACAAGCCGGACAGGAAGTAGTGTTCCCAATGAAAAATGATGGACGGGTGAGTAATGCGTAAGAACTTGCTACAACGGATTAGTAATTTGACGCTTTAGTCCATTCAATAATCTCTTTGCCAATTAAAAAAGGATAATTATTATGTTACATGAGTCAAAATAAGGCTTGGAAAAGTCTCTTTTAATTTTTTGGTGTTTTAACATGATATCACACTGGTTTCCCAATTGTTTAGAAAATATTAAAAAGGTACCTTGTGATTTACCATTCTAATATACCCTGATATGGTTTTGTTTGATGAGTTTTTTCACTCGTTTGTTTGATTTTCTTTTATAGCAGTTTTACGAAATTAATTTGACATATTTGTAAATAAAAGGGTAAGATGGAAATTTTGTCACAAAACATAGGTTCAGGGTAACAAATTGATATTGTTAAAAATCACAACTATTATAAAACCAAGAGATATAAAACTGATAAAAAGATTTTAGAGAGATAAACTGAGAGAGAAGAAATCTCTAATATTAAATACTAATATCAAAAATACAATCAAATGATATATAAAACGTCTATATTTATAATAAAATTTAAAATTATTGTGCATTACTGTACATTTACGGGTTTTTATACATTGCGCCGCTTATCTGTTAAAAAAAGTGGACAACCACCGCCAATCGTCATTTTTAACTTTTACAACAAGGTATCTTTTCAATATTTTACAAATATTAAGGTACCATAATTTGATATTTCGTTAAAACACAAGGTATTAAAATATGATAAAAACTATATATAGAAAAAAAAAAAAAACAAAAAAAGGGATGGGAAATACCAGTGTTGATTGGCATTCTCTGTCGAGTGAATGGGACAACACTAGAGTACAAGTGGAATGGGGGACGTAGATCACATGTCGAAACTACAAACTACATCAAAAATGTCCAATCATCAAGTTGCTAGAAACGTACTATATTGCAGATAATCTTTTAGCATTCATAACCAATAATTTGGTGGTTCAAGATATCCTATGCGCTGGACCACGATCTATATATCATGGTCTCATACTGATCTTGTGAAAACAAATTATTAATTAGAAATATACATATATAGATATAGATATATCAGAAATCAAAGGACATTGAAGTAAGTGTCTTTATTTGTCTGGATCTTTGTTGTGACCCGTGACTCGTGGTTTGGCATCTTGCTAGCTATATAAGCTGCTAGCTTCCAAGTAAGGCTTTATGAGTAAATTTTAGCATTTTTGCATTTAGCAAAACCCATTTGAACACCAACTTTATAGTTTTGTTTCGGCCTGTTTGTCCTTAGCCGAATTGTGTGAAATCAATTATGACTTAAATTATACTAATCTAACACCGACGTGCATAATCTTAAAATATTTAAAAATGCTAAGACTCTAGTGTTGACAAATTCTCATTCATTTCACATAGCACATGTTGTGTTAAAAGTAATATTGCTTTAAATTTTAAAATTCAGTCCACACACCAAACTTAAAAATTAGTTGATATGGTATGTAAGTTATTATTGCTTTTTTGACTGGGAAGAAAAGGCATATGAAGGGTAATAATTCACTTATGATATTACTTTTGTATTTTTAAAATTGATTGATAGCATTATTCTAAGTTAAAATATGATAATATCTAGAAACACGACTTTTGAGATGGTAAAACTATAATGAGAATGCAAGTGGTCATCAAATACTAAAGATACTTTTTATAATTTGTGAATTTTAGATTAGAATTTGCAAACGATTCATCATATTCTTTTAAAATTTATAAGCATAATTTTTGTAATTTTATCGTTCGAGTTTGTAAATCCTAACGTAAAATTTATAAATTATCGTATATTTCGACATGTTAGCAGAAAAATTTCCCGACAGCGTAAAAGGACCCAGATCATTAACATAGAGAATTTTTTAATAATTAACTTCTGTCCAAATAAAATATAATTAGGCACAAGGGAACACAAGTCAAACCCCAAATTCCCCCAAACATCTTAAAAAAAAAAACTAGTCACAGCTTGTTGTATTGTGCATATAGACCGACTTCTCATTATATATATATATATATATATATATATATATATATATATATTTTCTCCCTCGGGCACAGAGTCATAATCTTCTTTCTTATTTCTCCTAGCTAGCTCCCAAAGTCCAAACATTACTACTCAATCAAAATGCCTAATAATTCATTCCCCATTCTCCTACCCTCCATTCTCTCTCTCCTCCTCCTCTCATTCCCACATGGCCATCACCGCCGTCTCCTCGCGGCTGCGGACGCAACCTTCATCCAGCAAACCTGCAAAACCACCAAACACTACGACCTCTGCGTCTCCTCCCTCAAGTCCGACCCCACAAGCCTGCAGGCCTCCGACGCCAAAGGCCTCGCAAATATCATGATCGCCATCGGAGTCGCCAACTCCACCGCCACCTCCGCCTACATCTCCTCCCAACTGCCAAGCACCACCACCACCACCGCAGCCGCCGCGAAGAAGAAGGCAGTGTTCAAGGAGTGTGCTGATAAGTATGGCTATGCAGCCGAGGCGCTGCAGGCGTCAGCGCAGGATTTGGCGGCGGAGAGCTTCGACTACACTTACATGCACGTCACCGCGGCTGCGGATTATCCCAACTCTTGCCACAACGCCTTCAGGAGATACCCCGGCTTGCCTTACCCGACTGAGCTTGCGCGTAGAGAGGATGGTTTGAAGCGTATCTGTGATGTGGTGTTGGGAATTATTGATAATCTTGGTTGGTAATCTATCGGATTATAATTTATCTACCGATCGAAATCACACGGTGGCAGTGTTCAGCACTACTGGTGTTATAAATAATACTACTTTTGTTCCACTGAAAATTTCTTCATATGTTAGTACTGTGTTTTCATGGCACATTGTGGGACTAATGTAGGTATAAGATTAGTAGTTGTCTCCATATAGCTAGCCGTACGTTGTTATTATTCTGCTAATTAAATGTGTATTAATTATGTTGTTGACAATAATTATGGTTTTGGCAGTTTGATTTGGTAATTGTCAAGATTTGTATGCTTTACTATTATTATCAAGATGTGTATTGACGTTATAATTAATTACTTGTGGTTTTAGCATTTTTTTATGGAATTGTGTTAGCATTTTGCTTATTGCATGCTTATCTATATATGTCTTTCTAAAAAAAATAAAATTACTTTTAATACTGTTTTTTTTTTAATTTCAATTTCTATATAATTGTAAAAATGTTTATGTTGATGTGTAAAATTTCTTGGCAGTTGTAAACTTATTGAATTCCTTTTCAAACTAACTATTCGGATTTTTGAATCTAATAGATATTGACGCAGTTTCACATTTCATTAGAGCACAGGCAAATTAAAGGTTATAGACGTATAATTAGAAAGGTTTTTTTTCCCTATTTTTCCTTATTATTTATCGAATTTATTTCTTTCAAAGTACTTGAAGCACTATAATTCATGTTTGAGCTCCTAAGTTGAGGATATTGGGAATTTAACAGCTGAAATGACCGTTTGAAGTGAATTAGTGGATGCAATGCTTGAGAATGGTGTTTTGATAGGTGTAACATTTTAGTTAATTATCTATCTAGAAGAATAGAACTATGCTGGTAACTTAGCACTTGGACGAAATATTTAACGACAAAAAGTCATTATGACTTTTTTTGATAGAAGGGGTCAAGATTATGACTTAGAAACAAACCCCACTAACAAAAGTGATTGTCTTATCATTTACTTTCTATTGAAAATAATGTGAGAAAACAAGCTAAGAAGAAACGATAAATTAAAATCTCGTGGTTTGAAATGGTTTTAAAAACTATCGAAAATCAAAACTACACTTCAAGACTCACTACAAGAATTTGAATTTTTTTGTTACCAAAAATTTGGTAACTAAAAGCCCTGTTTTTGGTAGTAAAACGTTTTTGTTACCAAAACATTTTAGTAGCAGAAAGTATTAATTATCAAAATTTTGATAGCAAATAGTTTTTACTACTAAAAATTTTTTTGGTAACAAAATGTATTTAGTAGCAAAATATATAATATTCGGGGACCAAAAATTTCAGTAGCAAAAGACTTTTAGTAGCAAAAAGTGTGAGCTTGAGGACCCCTAAATTTTGGTAGTAAAATATATTTGGTAATAAAAAGTACGGGATTCAGTCACCAAATATTTAGTAACAAAAGATATTTGGTAGCAAAAGCTATGAGATTTAGGGGCCAAATATTTGGTATCAAATTGTATTTGATAGCGAAATGTATGAGATTTGGTGACCAAATATTCGGTAGTAAAAATGTATTTAGTAGAGAAAAATATGAGATTTAAGGACTAAATTTTTGGTAGCAAAATGTATTTGATAACGAAAAGAACAAGAATCAAGTACCAAATATTTAGTAGCAAATAACTAATTTGTTGCTACCAAATTTTTTTGGTCACCAAAACTGAGACAGATTTATATACTTGTATTATTTAAAAATATATATATAAATAAAATACTAAATATTAATTTAAAATTCTCTAAATATTTCAATACATATTAGAATCGAACAAAATACTAAAATAGTCATACTTAAGCAAACCCAAACACTTATGCAAATATTGTACTAGTAAAATCTTAATATTATAAAAATTAAACGCTCTAATTAAACCGAGGCCAGTGGTGGCGGTGGTGGAGGATCTTCTCTTCTTATGACGAAAGGTCCAGGATGATCTGATGGCAGATTTATCTGTTGAAGTAGCTTTTGAATAAGCTCATGTTGTTGCTTATACGACGTTTGTTTTCCTGAACTTCATTTTCAAGCTTTTCATATCATGACCCTCTAGATTTGCGAGCTTGTGGCGCTTTTCTTAGTACAGGACCTATGCCACGCTTGAAACCATATTTTTCATACCTCTCACTTGACAAAACTTAAGAGTAAATTTCTTCCTCTGCATTAGAGTCAAGTTCTGACCCCTCTGGTACTTCACTTAAACGAGCATCGCGGATCTTGATCATTTGTTCCTGCATTAGGCGAAGTGTTATGAACTTTCAAGTTAGAGTAAAAAAAAAGAAAACAAAATCAAACGAAATGATAAAGTGTTTAGTAATTCTTACAATCTTTCTTTGCTCTCTCAGTTGTCCATCCCCATGACTCGCTCTAAAGAGTATTCTTGAAGACCTTAAAGTATCCTCCCGAAGCATTCGAGTCATAACTCAAATGTGTATTCTACATAGAAATCATTATTTGTTAGTTAGTGAAAAAGGAAAAAAAATTATGTCTCAAATAAATGTCTTATAATACAATTAAGTTGTCTCATAACACATTCTCAAACCAATATCTCATTAAAATGCCATCAAACCTTAAAATATAATAGAAATTTCGGCATCATCTCCCCTACAATTTCTACTAACCCAAAAAATCTAAATCCACACATCTCGGTTCAATTTGCATATCCAAAATCACGTTCTCAAACCAATGTCTCATAATACAGTTATGTTGTTCATTTTACCTGTCATTCTACATCGTTTAAGCAATTGGTGCACATCCACTCCCAATCTTTTGATTCTTACCCCAACCACTGACTAGCAGTTGCAATGTCCTTTACAATACTTGTGGAAAAAATCATAAGATCCTGCTCTAACAAAATGGCATTGAACTGCAGTACATCTAAACAAAGAGTTCAACACGTAAAGTGACATAATGTTTCAATACCTTCCCCTTCCAAGAGATACTATACAATGGTAAGAACATTTTATATTATCCATACAACTACAGACAAATTAGAGACTGCACAACAAAAATTCCTTTCCAAGAGCCACACTTACACATCAGATTAATGGCAACATGAGAAATCATTAGAACACTTACGAGAACAGCGATCAATTTTGTATCAAGACTCCACAAAGCTTGCAAATTCTCTCCTTCAAACACAAGAAACTACTCAAATTAAACCGCCCTATCGGCACAACGGACACTCAAAGATAGTCATTTTCCCACACATTTCCAAAATTGATTTCCAGAAGAACACAATTATACTAAGCATATAATATAGAGAATGAACAAATGTCACTTCCTCTATGTCGATTAACTAAAAAAGCATCAATCTTTAATCAAACCAAAAAAAAATCTCCAAAAAAATAGAGAAAAAACTGAAAATGCTTACCATTTCTTTCTTTCTCCGATGAGCCTAGCCTCGACATCGCAGCCACCAACGGGCACGCTTCCTCTCTGCCCCCGGCGAAGTGTTCCTGCATTAGGTGAAGTGTTATAAACTTTCATGTTCTGGAAACTCACTACTCTCTTCGCCTCCTCGCCAATCTAACCTGTTGACGGTGTTTTTCCGTCAACTCGTGATTACCTCTCCAGAAACGACACGTGTTGGCACTCACGGTCTAATTAAGGATTAATGCACAAAAATAACACAAGGGAAACAACAGTTTTATAGTGGTTCGACAATAACTCTTTGCCTAATCCACTTGTGCATGCACTAGTATTTCAGTCGGTTACAAACTCTCTCCTCTTTTGTAATGAAATGGTGTCTAACCCTTTTTTGGGTTCTTTTTGCTCTATTTATAGGCGGTTACAAATAACTAAGCCTTCTCCGTTCCCAAGGAGGAAGCCATCTCCCATCCTCGATATTCGGGATGGTAGGTGAGTTTTCATGATGACAATCTCAAGAAATGCGGCTGATCCCTCTCATCTGCTGCCTGATTTTTTGACTCTTGCAGTAGCAGTTGGACCAGTACTCCCTTCCCCGAGTTGACAAGACCGTTGCTGGATTTGACTGGACTGCTTCCGGTCTGATCTAATTCCTGACTCCTCAACACAAAGGCTTCAAATGGCTTTTAGTAGACTTCTCGACTTCAACGATGCAAAGGCCTTAAAAGGACCTTAAGCACTTCTCGACTCCAACACCTTGACTCCTCGACGCAGAGGCTTCAAAGGGCTTTTAGTAGACTTCTCGACTTCAACGATGCAAAGGCCTTAAGAGGACCTTAAGCACTTCTCGACTCTAACACCCTGACTCTAAGAGCGCTCTTCAACCTAGAGACATCTCCCTAGCTGTTAGTTCTCGACGTCAGGGATTTGTCCTAACTTTCGGAGCTCTCGACGCGAACGATAAAAGTGGGTGGCTTGAATGGTCGACCATGGTGTAACAATTGCCCCCCAGCTTGGAATATTACGTCGTGATGTTTCAAGCTATGGCAAGTCAAGAAATCATTCATTGGTAAGCTTGGCAGTTACTCTTCCCACACAACACCATCATTATTGCTGATTTCTCAGGTTGTGGAGCAGTAATGTCGATCATGTTAGCAGGTGGTAGTCGAGAGTTGAATTTCAACTGTGGGATCAAGTTTCATTTCCTCTTTGTTTTCCTGCATTATCCCCGTAGAGACTGCCTTTCTTTTATTCTTTCGCGCTAGCTCGTGATGATACCTACATGAGAATGGTTAGAAATAGAAGAATACGAACTAAGAAACTAACCTTTTGTTGTTTACGTATTATTCTGAATGCTCGACGCCAACATTTCTTCTCTCCTCGACCGCCAACATAAGAGTCTCTCACCAGATACATGTAAGCCTCGACCTTCTTGGATTTCTTTCTGCAAGCTGACCTTCATGGTTTTCCCTTAGTACTCTCTACTCTAAGTAGGTCCTCCTATTCACTTTTGCAGGCTTTTATCCTCTCCCTCATCCTCGTTGACATAGTCAAGGTCGAGGGTCGAGCAATGAGATGGACCGAATCGGGACAATCCTGATGGTTGTCCTCGACGCGGAAAAACTCACCTCAAAGACCAACGCAAAGGAGATGAATAAGGCCTTGCGGGAAGTATGAGACCTTCTTGAGGAATTAGAAAAGGTCAAAGCGCAAGTGGAGGCTAACAGAAGTGAAAGAGGCTGAGGTCAAGTATCTGGACGAGGGAAGATTGAAAGGGGGCGAGGGAGGCACTGGAGCTCTAGAGCGTCGAACATTAGAGAGCGTCCTGATCTGCCAAACAGTCGAATATATTTTTTTTAGCCTCTCCTCCTTAGAGGCTCTATTAGCTATGCTTGTTAGCCTTTCGTCCTTAGAGGACTCGGCGTTATAAGTTCTTTGAACTTATTTTTGCT